TCCTGTTGCACGTCGGTACGGGTGCGGCCGGCCAGCGCGACGTCCCTCACGACCGTTTCGGCAGGAGATTGGTTCAGGTCTTCACGAGAAACGAGAACGGCAGCCTGGATAACTTGACCGAGAAACTCGCCGCGGCCGGGTACACGCTGTCTTTTTACACGACCGGAATAGACGTCGCCGTGGATGCAGCGATGCGTGCGGCGATTGTCGACAAAGAGGGAATCTTCAGCCTGCCGGAAGAAGTCTTCACCTACCCGAACCTGCCGTGGGACATACGAAAGATGTGGGGACAACACGGCGTGAACGCGTACGAAGAATATCGTCCGATATTGAACCGCCCCGAGGATCCTACGGTATAATATATGAAATAATAATGACCATGACAAGTAACAATGACAACTAATAATTTCGACATTATTATTTTACACAGGTGTGGGCCTGCAGTGGCGCTGGATCGCGGCAAGTTCTCGCAGACGATGGTGAATCGTGGCCCGAGAGCCAAGATTCGGACAACTTTTTTTTTCGAATTGTACCATGCAGCACGTTTTTGGAAAGCCGATGTTTCGTCGCGAAAAGCGAAATTCCGAACTCGGGTCACGGCCTGTTCCTAGCACGACACAAGTTCCCCATCGAGAGCGGGGCGCATATCTGCCTTTACGCCGAACGAAGCACCACCGAGGAAGAAATGAACAAAAACAGCAGCTCTCGTTCCTACGCGATATTCGTGCACAGAAAAAAACGATGGTTCGACGCGGAGGTGGAAACGGCCAATAATTTGGGACGATTTGCAAATCAGCCGTGGGTGCTCGAAGCATTCAAGCACATACGAACTCTTTCGTCAGCGGAAAGGCCCCCTCTGACGGAAGAGGATTGGGCGAAAACCGAAAGTCGAATAGACGAACAGTGCAACGCTCGCTTCGACACGACCGGGGAACAGTTAGTTCTACGAACGAAACGGCGCTTGGAGCCCTCGAAACGTCCGACGGAGATACTGGTGAACTACGGTGGGCTTCGCTCCTACTGGATCCCGTTGTTAAGACAACGCCGTGATGATGAAGTGCTACCAGAAAGCCTGAGAGAAATCGTTGCGTGGCTTTTCGAGTCCCCAGAATGCAACTGGTCGACCGAGCAAAGAACTAAATGGACGTTTATGTGAACTGAAAAGAACATGCAACCAATTTGAACATAATAGTTGAACATTTAAGCCGGACATTTCACTGAAAATTTAGGCTATTTATTTATTTTGTTGCTTCTGTATTGAAAATGTACATATGTCAGGAAATAAAGTTTTTTTCTGGCCAAAGCTAGATATTAATAACCCTTTTGTCACTACTTGTATATACAGTGTGTATCAGGAATGAAACATGCGTGCATTATTAATGATAAGCTTAAAGCTTACCCGATTTATTAGAATCTTGACTCTTTCTCCTCTCTAGTTGTCCATCACTGGCTATGGATCAAGTCTGGAAAAAAAAACGCTTGCTATTAATTTCCCAACGACTATCGATTAATAGAAATTCACCTCCGACCAAAAATTTCCCAACCCCATTCAAAGGCAGAATTATATCATACTGCACAGTCCATTCCAAATTGAACTGTTGAAAGGTTTATTAAATCGATATATCTGCTATGTATGTCATGCCCATATCAATCAATCAATCAATCAAATCGTTTAATAAATATACATCTCGCAGTCATTATGACTGAATTAAATGTATAATACATCAATATGAATGGTAAAAATATGTATATTTTAAAAGTTATTAATATATTTACAACTACAAGCATTAAAAATTAGAATTCATAACCTAAACAAGCTATATGACATCACATGCTACAAGATTACATTTACATTTAAGAAGTGTGTCTATTTGAATAATTTGGCATAAAAGAGTTTTTAAAACGATTTATATAACATTTGATCGTTTGAAATGTTCTCTTTGTCCTTAACTGATTATTAATACCGTTGGTTCTTTCCGGTAATAAATTGGTGCATTTCACTGAAAATTTAGGCTATTTATTTATTTTGTTGCTTCTGTATTGAAAATGTACATATGTCAGGAAATAAAGTTTTTTTCTGGCTAAAGCTAGATAACCCTTTTGTCACCACTTGTATATACAGTGTGTATCAGGAATGAAACATGCGTGCGATAAGCTTACCCGATTTATTAGAATCCCCTCTCTAGTTGTCCATCACTGGGTTTAGATCACCTCTGGAAAAAAAAACTTTTACTATTAATTTCCCAACGACTATCGATTAATAAGTTATGCATGTTCTATAAACTTGCACTTACCAAGACGAGGACTAGTTAAGATTGATTGAAAAAGCTTACGGAAGTGTTACTACCTATATTTCACGCTATCATGGGAAAAGCATTATTTACATTATCATTCGTTATACTGTACTTATTCACAGAAGTACTATAAGTTCCCACGATGCTAACTCGTTTTTGTTTCGACGAAAAAATATCTTATAATGAAACGACACAGAGATAAAAAACATCTCTAGTACTTTTATGATCATAGAGTCACCTCTACATAATGATTTCTAATACCTATAATTAATAATTATATAACAAAAAAAATTTCAATAGTGAAATATCTATCATCAATATCTACGCGCTTAATAGTCTTTTTCACACAGAAAATCGTGTGATCAACAGTTATTGTTCTCAAGGGTCACAAGTTGTTACATTTGAAATGTAGGCATTCTATGTACGTATGGGGTCTTCCAAAAAAAGTAAACCATACAATTCTATCACATTAGTGGTCATTTTGAAATTGTATTTAAAATACCAGTTTCTTTTAACCTATTTTTTATTCTATTGTTAAAAGGATTTGTTAGCGGGATACCCTGTAATACATAGAAGTCAAACTAAATGATTTTCTGATTGATTTGGAATTGTTATCTATATATTTGTTAGTTATCTGTTATCTGAAACGTTTTTGTTTTTTGTTTTTTTTGACGGATTTATATATGTCCACAAGGCTTCTGAGTGGTTTAAACCTACTTAAAACTATGAATATTCCAACTATTTTACATTTGACTATTGCCCATGACAACCATATTGAATTAGCTGAATTATTTCCAGCAGTTGAGGTCACAGTTTCATTATAATTTACATTTTTTAACTGTCTGTTGCACGAACCTGTTCGAATACTGTATTGTTCCAAATCTATATACAAACTTAAAATATTCTATAAAATCAAACTCTGAGGTGAGGCATACCAAACAAGTCCCTTGCGTTGGAATCAAAACCATTAGAGTCAGTAAACACGGATACAATATTTTGCTGAGATATTAAAAAAATGTAAATGTTTTCTTACAACAATTGCTCTAAAAACAGAATTTAAAGGCACAACAAATGGAACGCCTTCACTCAAGGTCTAGAGAATAGAGTATCTTTTATTGCTAATATTGAACAACACCATGCACAGATAGCAACATCAAGGAATTACAATTATATGACAGGGCATTGTCCAAAAATTCCAAAGACAACAAACAAGTCCTCTAAACAGACCAAAAAATTAATGGTTTATTTTAATATGTAGTTCTATCCCTTATCGAAGATAATTTGCTGGATGATCTTCTACAGAATATTGCTACATATCCACCTATACAATACGTCCTTAGCAATAGATTACTTGTGTGCAAGTATTATAATTCGATAAATGAATGTCACATATCTGCAGTTTCCTAGCACTGATTGACACACAAGTTTTCATCATGGAACTCAATTGAATACATTGCATTAACCACATACTATATATACATAGCTTGTCGTGTACATGTCGAAAGGTTTATTCAATCAATATATCTGCTATGTATGTCATATATGCCCATATGTCATGCAGAACTGAGAACTTCAGGCATTCAGTAAGTTGGCAATAGATTACCAGTATACTGATCATAATTGGATCAAAGAACTGTCTTTCTCTAATACCTCCTTAGCAATAAATTACTTGTGTGCAATAAGTATTTTAACTTAACTATCAATTAACTGTCTTTCTTTAGACACTTTTGGAAAGATTAAACAACAATAAAAAAATAATGACAATGGCTGAAACAATCCCATTCATTTATTAATAAAAATACCCATTCATTCAAAATAGGAAGTATCTTAAGAAATAGTATTTTAAACCGGTGATAGCACGCCTGCCGAAGACAAACTTGCCTATTTAAGGCTCTGTTGCAAGTACGAGTATTAAAATTTAAAAAAAACTCACATGACAATTGCTTTTAATACAGGAGGTTTTTAAGTGCTTTTCAAGTGGTTTATTGATGGCACGCAAACCCTCGTGCTCGTCCATTCTTTGGAGTGAACTTGACGAATCGATGATTCTAAACAATACTTCAGCCTTCAAAGTTCATATAAACATCCATATTCGAGATTTAAAGAAGTTATACAGCATATATTTGCAAATAATTGTTAATATTTTCATCAATGAAACTCGTGTTTTGCGAAATCTGTTAATGCCCGCATGCGCGTAACTAAGCCGCTGTCCGCAATGCATTATATCGGGCTCAGCTATCTGATCTATATCGTAAAGATGGAGTGATAGAATAGAACTTTTCGGTGATACGTCACAGCAATTTGACGACACAAAGTTTTAAATTTAGAACCACCTTAAATGGAATGGATTTAAAGTTTTATCCTCACGAGCCATATCGAAAGGTGCAAAACATCCTTCTTCAACACATGCATGAAAAAGATTTTTAGTTTGACCAACGAATTCTGGAAATAAGCCTAACACGAGAACAAGGCGTCCGGGCGTCCCATATAGCAGACGGATGTTTCGCATCTTTCCACATAGATTACCGAAAAGGTCTATTAGGTATCAATTGTACAGGTAGGTATAAAAGTGAATATAAAATCAAAACAAAAAATATTCCTCATGCAAACTTTTATGGGTAAACTGATAAATGGGTAAGCTCAGTGAGAGAACTCAAATTTGACACAACATGTAGTTTTTGAATACATATATTTATTTAAAATCCCAACAAAATCTGAACAAGTGAATACTGATGATTATAACAGAACAAGAATATTAATTACAACGGAACCCTCTAGTAAATTTTGACTTTTTCATGCTCGATATATTTCTGGATTTTACTTTTTCGACGTACCATGAACAATGTCGAATATATCATCAGAGAGCGTGCGCAACTCGTATGCTTTGCTTGTCGCATTATAAACGATGTCTATAGGAAAAACCAACGCCTTAACCGACTCTTTCCAAGTTCTGCCTGGTTTCAGTCTATACAAATTTGTGGAATCCGGCAAAAGCTCCATGCTAATTAAATGCGCTTGCTGCTTGTTTTGCGTGAATCTCGCGACTTTTGCTATGAAAAAGGAAATGTGATTTTTGGTGGAAACTGGATCAAGCAGTGCTACAATGTCACCGACAGCTGGTAACAATTCGTCCCCGGAATCATTTTGGCAATCGCTTTCGTCAGGCAATGCAATAAAATCCGCTTCACCGAAGATATTTGACGCAATTTTTTCCCTGATAACTTCTCGGCCTTTTTGCGTTTTCTCGTGGTGTGTTAAATCGTTATACGTGCTTTCCTGATATCGGACCGAATGCTTCATTAAAAGCGCAAGACTTTTTCTAACATTTATATCTTTGGAGTCGTCCAAAGTGCTGAAATATGTGATGATAGCATGCCTTAACGCATTAGTGCTCGCTCGAATGGAAACCTCGCGCATGAAAATATCGCCAATGTACCTCGCAATTGAACTGCTGCTATCAAAAGGCGCGCCTCGCTTGTTGAGAAAGAAGAAATCATGCGACTTGCCGAGCAGTAAAGATGGCCTTGCCTTAGTATATAATTGCAAGTAATACACCAGATCTTCGTCATCGGAAACATCGATTCTGGTCGGCCCAATACTTTTTGATGTTTTGAAATCAAATTGCACGATTACAACGCTATTGCCCTCTTGAAATACGATAAAATTACCGCCATCCACCGAAGTGAAATCGAAAGTTCCGCAGTCCGCTTCGATATGCAATTTCATGGTCCTTAATTCTTTCGACCTGCCAGGAATGGCTCTTAAGTAAGTTGCCAAGAGTACAAAATCATGCAAGTGCCTACTTTTTTCCAAGCCATGCGTTTCCAAATACTTATCGCGTATGTTACGAAGAGTTTCTAAAACGTGCGCGAAATAAAACTGCTGAGTTGCCTTGCTCGTAAAACCCTCCTTATGAAGTTTTGATATCATGCTGCTTTCGTGCTGAAAGTGTCGCTGAAATGATTGTAAAGCTGAAATGGTTCGCGATGCATTCTCCGAGTCGGGCGAATTCGGTTGAAAGTTTGCCAAATTAAATTTCAAAACGTTTATACCGATTATAAGATGCGCAACTATAGTTGAGGGTTTAAGATTTCGGGTCCCTTTTAAATATTCTACGTAACTAGTATAGAGTTCGATATTGTTAAATAGATCTAAGGTTAACATGGCAATGTTTTTCACGTTCAAGCAGAAGTACATAAAGCTCATGGCTCTTTCAACCATTTTGTCGACGGTCGTTTTTGAAAACGGCGGCCCAGCACGATGGTGGTTCAATGCTTTTAGGTAGAAATGGCGCAAGTCTTTTACCTCATTCTTCAATCTTTCAGGCGCGCTGTCTAATGCGATGGTATACGTATTTCTTTTCGGCGACGTCGTTTCATCTTTAAATTTCTTTTCTACAGGTGGTTCTTGTTCATCGCTGTCTGACTCGACGCTGAGATTGTAAGACACAATTGGATTGTCTGTGGTCGCGAGGCTCGGACTGGCGACATCAGCAGCGTCGAGAATTGTGGCAGAACTACTGTGAGAAAGTCTGGCTCGCTTTCTCGCACCTTCACTGCGATATGCCATCAAACGGGTCAAGTCTTCATCTCGAATAAGGCTAAACGTAGCACCCAAAGAAGCATTGCGTCGACGAAAGTGAATTCTCTCTTCCAAAGTGGCACAGGGTGTTGTCGAGATGTTTAGGGACTTTAGCCAGTTTCTAACGGTGCTTTTTGGAGTGTCTGTGAAAATCTTTTCGCACACGTCTATGAAGCAGTAATAAGTCTGATTGTCTCGTTTGATGTGAGCTAAAGATTCCATTTTTGTAAAATCCAGACTAAAAATAAAAAAGTTGTCATTAATAACACTGACATATTCTTTTAACCCTAACCCTGGAATTCAAGCTAACTTTACAAAAGTCCATAACCTTTCGTAAAATTAGTAACATTGGTTCATAACCTTACATGCGCAAACAGGTCTGGCAGACAGGTAGGCGTGCATGCTAAAATGGTGTGCTGGAAATAAAGGACTTTTTCCAAATATATAACCCTTCCTTCAAAATTACTAACCTGGGTTAAAAATCATAACCCTAGCATTTTAACTAACCTAAAAACTAAATCTTGCTAAGATCCATAACCTTTTCGTAAAGCTAATAACCCTTCAGTGGCATACAGGCGTGCTAAAAATGCATATGGCGTGCCGACAAATTAAGGGCTTTTCCCAAATAAATAACCTTTCCTTAACAATTACTAACCCTACATGCGTTTAATATCATAACACTCAAATAAAATTGGTCTGTAACAAGAAACAAACTTACAATATATCGAGCCTGATTATTCTCAGTTTTGCATGAATACGTGTTTCGTTGATTTCCAGGCAGGCGTATGGTTCACCTGAAAAAAAAAGCACTCTTGTAAGACACAAAATTAAAAAACCTCCGCTATAATTTACTCAAATTCAGAGCGCGCTAACAAATGGAAATTCTGATAAGACACGGAATAGATTATCACTGGGAGGGAGGTGTATATAAAAACGATATAAATATAGTCCGTATGAATACAGTATAAATATACGGTATAAAAACGGTATAAATATAGTCCGTATAAAGTCCGTATAAATACAATAAGTATACCTGGCTCATGATGATAATAATGATGATCCTTGAAGATGCTTCTTTCATGACTTTTAAGTGAAAATGAAAGATAATCGACAAACCATTTACGTATACAACACAGATAGGCACGCCTTCTTTGGGGTTACTAATGGACATCGCCTCCTAAATTCAGGAAACGCGGCGCTTTGATATTAGCGCAATGCCGCACTAATGAATTAGCTAATTGGACATGGTGAGAGATAAGGCACAGGAACTGGCGTTCCTCAGACAAAGAGGTGACTTTTTCTTCCTGGCGGAAAGACACAATAGAAGCACTTGTTAATGACAGCAGTTCCCCATTCAAGCGAGAAGTGATTGACAAATATTAAACGTATTAAACCATATGAGCTTAACAACATTCAATTACAAAAAATACTCAAAATTGATTATCTGTCAGATTTACCTCAAAAATACATAATTAATATACATAGATTAAAAAGCCTCATGCATAAGGTTTCTAGTAGGTCTCTAGATCGGTTTATGATTGCAAATATAATAGCCAGATTTACATGTGCCAGCATGCAATGCAATGGGCGTGTCTGCTCGAATGAGTGATCTCTGGCTGGGGGGCTTGGGGCTCTGGGTGCAAAGGTTAAATTCTTCTGTTACATTGCTGGGCTGAGATGATATCATATCTCAGTGAACATTCTGTGGGTGCATGCAGGATGGATATTCCATGCAACAACTAAGCACATGCAATGATTCAATTGGCATGTTATTATGGCAGAGCTCTGCTCGAATGAGTGATCTCTGGCTGGGGGGCTTGGGGCTCTGGGTGCAAAGGTTAAATTCTTCTGTTACATTGCTGGGCTGAGATGATATCATATCTCAGTGAACATTCTGTGGGTGCATGCAGGATGGATATTCCATGCAACAACTAAGCACATGCAATGATTCAATTGGCATGTTATTATGGCAGAGCTCTGCTCGAATGAGTGACTCTGGCTGGGGGGCTTGGGGCTCTGGGTGCAAAGGTTAAATTCTTCTGTTACATTGCTGGGCTGAGATGAAATCATATCTCAGTGAACATTCTGTGGGTGCATGCAGGATGGATATTCCATGCAACAACTAAGCACATGCAATGATTCAATTGGCATGTTATTATGGCAGAGCTCTGCTCGAATGAGTGATCTCTGGCTGGGGGGCTTGGGGCTCTGGGTGCAAAGGTTAAATTCTTCTGTTACATTGCTGGGCTGAGATGATATCATATCTCAGTGAACATTCTGTGGGTGCATGCAGGATGGATATTCCATGCAACAACTAAGCACATGCAATGATTCAATTGGCATGTTATTATGGCAGAGCTCTGCTCGAATGAGTGATCTCTGGCTGGGGGGCTTGGGGCTCTGGGTGCAAAGGTTAAATTCTTCTGTTACATTGCTGGGCTGAGATGATATCATATCTCAGTGAACATTCTGTGGGTGCATGCAGGATGGATATTCCATGCAACAACTAAGCACATGCAATGATTCAATTGGCATGTTATTATGGCAGAGCTCTGCTCGAATGAGTGATCTCTGGCTGGGGGGCTTGGGGCTCTGGGTGCAAAGGTTAAATTCTTCTGTTACATTGCTGGGCTGAGATGATATCATATCTCAGTGAACATTCTGTGGGTGCATGCAGGATGGATATTCCATGCAACAACTAAGCACATGCAATGATTCAATTGGCATGTTATTATGGCAGAGCTCTGCTCGAATGAGTGACCTCTGGCTGGGGGGCTTGGGGCTCTGGGTGCAAAGGTTAAATTCTTCTGTTACATTGCTGGGCTGAGATGATATCATATCTCAGTGAACATTGAGATCTGAAAGCTAGAATTCGTGATAACAAAGAGGTCCGAATCATGAATGAATTGACGTACCGTAGTGTAGATTTGCCCACGATCATCATTTCATTATTTCCGAGGGTAGAAAACGTGCCATTTATGATCAATTCGTAAAATTTAGAGAGGATTTTCCAAAGCATTTAATACCCATGCATGCTTGTTGTTTGTTTCAATTCCGGAATTCAATTCCCCCCCCCCCGATCGCCGAAACATATTTAAATGTTGTGCATATGTAAATTATGTATTGTACAAAATAAACAATGGGAAAAATACATTCAGATATTTTCGACGCTAGGTAAAATGGAATCCGTGGATTTACTAATTTACTATCCAATACCAAGCATGCTTACGATGCGATACAGGGTGTGGATTAAGTAATTCTTTCGTTGCATCGCGTTGAAGCAACAATGAAGCGATTATCAACAGCGTGTTCAGAATGTGATAGATCAGTAGCGAAGCAATTCCATTGGTCTTCCTACTTCCGCAGCTCAGCTGTGGAAGTAGAAAGACCAATCAGGAGATGACTTTCGGAAATGGGATAACTCCAGTTACAAGGAGCAATTCACAATGCAATATTCATTGACGACGTCTTTGCTTCGACGACTGTGTTCGTTGAAATTTCGACATTTTCGTTTTTGTCGCTCGTTGAGCTCATCAGTCCAACAACGGCCGTAGTAGATCTATAAAGGAATCGAGATCAAGCGACATCAATTGCATAAATGTTGATATAAATGTTGTCAGGAATCTAAGCAATACATCGTCGCACTGTTGCGTAGCCCGAAAACCTCCGCATGAATCTGCTGAACCCCCCCTGGTTATATATATTATTTATTATTTAGACTAATAAAATGAATAAAAAACCGGCCGTGTTGTTCTCGATTTATACATCACATTATCGCAATCCCGTGTCTCTAGAGATACAGTTGATTTATTTTAGCACAAGTTGAGAGCGTGCATAAATAATTTTGGCACAAATAAAACATCATTTCTATTTTCGTATCTTCTCTGTTAAATGACGTAATTACGGTAAATTCCCCGGTAAAAATAGACCGAGCCATTACGTCATTACGCGAGTATAAATGCAGCGAGCGACGAGCGTTCGAATATACTTTACAGGCGAAGCGCAAAAAGGATGAACAAGTGCAAGGGTTACGTGGAGAATATTTTCAAATCGATAAAGAGGCAGATCAACAACTTGGACCCGGAGGAAGACGGAGAGACGCTGCAAGCGGTTGTCGACGCGTGCCAGACATTTTACGTGTCACTTTTCGCGAGGGGAAAAGGTGCGAGCGAGAAAACGAGCGTTGAAGAAATATAGCGCTCGGTCGATTGCTAAATTTTCCGTTCTACTTTGTGTCTTTCAGGCCTGTTCGGTCAGAGGCAGATGGACAAAGAGTTGGCGAGAAACGCCCCGAAAATTCCAACAGTTTCGTCGACGGAGGGATCCGGTGAAACGTCTCATCGACCTGACGACGATCCTCCAAAGAGCAAGAAAGGCCTTGGCAAGGGTTCTCCGGGCGTGTTTAGGGCGAGAAACGTGACGAAACGGCAGGAGAGAACGCGCACCAGCGACGCGTTCCTCGGCCGTAAGCGAAAATCAGCCGGCTCAAGCACCACAGGTGTAGCAGAGGGAACGAAACGAGCATTGCTCCCGAAGTCGGCGGAGAGCACCACCATGACAGCACCAGCAATTCCACCAGCACCGATGACACCACCGCAAACGGCACCCCGGCCACCTAAAAAAGCGCGTCTCGAGCAGCCGGAGAAAAGAAAACCTCTCTGCGCCCAGGCTGCGAAAGCCAACACGGGAGCAAAGCGAGTGCAAATGATGCAAAAGCTCGCGGCGGCCGGCGAGAAAGACGAGCCCCCAAATCATGTAGAATTAGAACTATTTTGGGGGGCCATGAACGACTGGAAGATTCTCGACGCTGGCTTGGTGGCGGCGTTGCAATCCACGTGGGAGGAGATGAATTCCGAGAAAAGCAGAACGCCGGTGCAAAAAATTCTCACGCTAACGGCAATCCCGAACGGCGTGAGCAATTGCATTCAACACTGCATTGGCAACCTGGTGCGAGAATTTGTTCGGCAAACCAAGTCGGACGGTCGAAAGGTCAACTATACGGCCGGCTGCGACGCGATGGAAGACGAGATAAGGGCCGAGCACTACCGAAGATATCGCGCAATGGTGAAGGATTGTGCGTGCGAAGCGTGCAAAGCGGTCATCCAGTTCGACGAGGCCTACACTAGGTAGGAGGAGATCGGGCCCCTGGCCTTACTTTAATACTAGCACAGCAGGTAATAACGTCTCACCATCGATCAATACGTTTGTTTCTTTGCAGATACCACGACAATTTGGAAATGACCACGGCGCAAATGGAAACCGAACCGGTTCGCTTCGCAGACAGACCGATGCACTGCGACGACGTCGATTTCCGTGCCCAAAGTCTGCGCACTCAGTTTACCGGCCTGAGTTCCACGAGTCTGCTCAAGGCGCTATACTTCTCGAATTCGACGCCCGCGTTTAGCCCTCCCACGCTATCGTTGGCGATGCCCACAGATGTGCAAAGCATGACGATGAGATACTTACAGCCATTCCTGAGAGAGAGAAAGTTGCAGGATCCACTGCCCCAGTCGTGGAAAACCGTGAGCCCGACACCGGCGGAACACGAATTGGTCAGCGTCCCAAAGAAATGCCTGCGCATGTTTGACGGAGACTCGGGCGAGATATTGCTGACATCCGAGTGCGAACGCGAACTCCACGACCTGGCGACGGACGACGGGAAGCTACGATTCCGGCTTAGAAACTGCGACGCGCCTGAGACGGAGTGCTCGGTGCGTATCTACAAACAACCAGACGACGGGTCAACGACGATGACGCCGTTTCTTACGCGACATATTGGAATCGAAGCACTGCGGGCAGCGAGGGAGCTGGTATTCCGAGCGAGCGAGG